TCTTCTTCGATATCATTGACACCACTCGTCTCCATTTCCATTTCTTCGAAAGATTCATTTTGTTCATTGTGTTCGGAGTTTTCATTATTGGAAATATGAAATTCGGGTTCATCTTTGATGACATGATGTTCATCATCTTTCATTATGTGACTTGTGTTGTTGTCATTATTCGAGTTTTGTTTTTGTTGGCCACTGCGAAAGGGATACTGTTTGCGTAGTCTGGAAGTGAAGGAAGAAATTAAAGAGAAGATTTAGTTTTTGGTTTTTTAACAAATTTCGTTTTTTTTTTTTCAAAATAATTACACGAATAAACGATTAATCAGTTAAACGAATAACCGGTTATCGATTAATCGGATATTGTTTTCAATTATTAATAATTTAACAGTTAATCTGTTTTTGGAATAATTAATTAATCGATTAATCTTTAAATTGAATAATACTCCCGAGTAACCGATTACCCATTATATAAGTAACCGGTTACTTTGTTTGAATGTATAAATAATGTACATTCTTATATGCTAAACTATTAGCCGTGATGTTCATTGAACGGTTTCCGAATGAACGGGTAACCGTTTAACCGGTTTTGTTAATAATCCATTGAACAATCGGTAACCGATTAATTAACTTATTTTTTCGGGTTTAAAGTACCTTTTTGACATATTTTTAAGTATTCTCGAAGTTTAGTAACTTTAAAATTAATATTTAGAAAGATAACAGTTATTTGTGTAATTATTTAAACGAATACTAAGCAACCGTTATCACTTTTAATTATTTTTTTAAATTTTTTATTAGTTTTCTTTAAGATTTTTAAAATTTCCTTTAAAAATATCTTCAAAATAAACAACTTTTACAACTTTAACCATCTGGCAACTTTATTTTGTTTTCACTACTACCTTTTAGCAACAACTCTGCTACTGTCACTGAAAGAAAAAAAACTACTACTCTCAATTTTGTTTTTAACTCACACACAAACTCTGTGACACAGACACTCAGTTTTATAATGAAAATGAAAACAACAAAAAAACAGCAACAACAAAAAATACCCACAATTTTTTTACACTCTTTTTTTTCTGCATTAAAATTTCTCACTCACAACTGTACTCGTTGTGGGTAAACCAAGAAGAAGAAGCAGCAGAAAAATGAAAACAATATGTAGCTACGAAAAAGAGCTGATAAAAAACGATAAAAACAATAACAACAAATATTTTTTATGATATAAACAGCAAGAATAATTATTGTGCGTTTTTTTTTTAGAAAATAGCTAAATATTTGTAGGAAAATTTAAAGAATTTTGATTATTTTTAATTAAATAGTTAATTTTCATTTAAACTTTTTATGCTGAGTTAAATTAGGGTTTTGTTATGAGTTTAATTAAGGTGTTTTTTTCGCTAATGAGTTGAAAAATAATAGAATTTATTTTAAACACTCCAACTCTCTCACTCTTCTAGTTTCACTAAAACTCATAGAAAATTAACAAGATATTAATACAGGCATGGAAAATTGATATTTTAAAATAGTAATAACAGCAAAAAAAAGTACTTTTTATGTTTTAAGACTAGACTATAGAGTATACTATAGACTAGAATATAGGCTAGACTATGGGCTAGACTATAGACTAGACTTTAGGTTAGACTATAGACTTGAATATAAGCTTGACTAAATTATGGGCTAGACTATTGACTAGACTATAGACTAGGCTATATGCTAGACTATAGGCAAGACTAGACTATAGACTGGAGTATAAGCTATACTATATGCTATACTATAGGCTAGACTATAGACTAGACTTTAGGCTAGACTATAGACTAGACTATTGGCTAGACTATAGACTAGACTGTAGGCTAGACTATAGACTAGACTATAGGCTAGACTATAGACTAGAGTATAGGCTAGACTATAGGCTAGACTATAGACTTGACTATAGGCAAAATTATAGACAAGACTTTAGGCTAAACTATAGACTAGACTATAGGCAAGACTAGACTATTGGTTAGATTATAGACTAGAGTATAGGCTGGACTATAGACTACACTATAGATTAGACTAAATACTAAACATTAGACTAGACTCTAGAATATACTATAGAATAATTATAGACTAGACTATAGCCTAGACCATAGACTAGTCCATAGGCTAGACAATAGCTTTGACTATACACCAGATAATAGAAAGTATTAAAAACTAGACTATAGAAAGTACTAAAGACTAGAGTATAGACTACACAATAGGTTAGACTATAGATTATACTAAAGTCTTGAATACAGACTGGTCAAAGTTTATAAATTTGGAAAAGCAGCGAAACTTTAGTGGCGTTACCGCAGTATTTGGATATCCAAAAGTAATAAAGTACTGCATTTTCCATGCCTGCATTAAAATTAAAAAAAAGTGTTGTCAATTGTAGACAAAAAAACATTAAAGCGAAAAAGTAAAATGTAAAAAAACTAAAAATATTTGTACAATTTTAATAGAAAAGCTAATAAAATCATCCTACAGAATATAGAATTTAAACATTAATTTACAAGCCATTACCGTTTACAAGACTAACCGCTTACTTTTTTTTTAACAATTTTCAATAATTATAATAAATTTTGAACGATTTTTTGATTAATATTTTTCAAAACTAACTGTTTGATTAATAAGGACGAATAAACGATTGTCAATTATTCGAATAACTGTTTGCTATTAGTCAAAATGTTATTTAATGGAGTATTTTTAACTAAAATTTGAGACATTGCGAGTAACTGGTTTGCATAACTCTTGCAAACGGTTCTATTTATCAAAATTTTTATACTTAAGTATATAAAATTAAAGTTAACGGTTAGCGGTTACTTGAGTAATCGGTATTCGATTGACATTTAATCAAGCAATCGGTCACTGAAGAAAATTTTTATAAAATAAGAAAAAATAAAGATTTTATCATTATTCGACGAATTTTTCTTAACATTCTTGAGTTCTTTAAAAACTCTTAACATTTTAAGGGAAAAACACACTAGATTAGCCTTACTTTTAAGTAGCCTGACTGCAAATAAACGACATTTTTCTCTTTACACAAGTAACAGGTGCATTTTTCCTAAGAAATTCGAAAACATTTACAAAAAAATAAGTGTTTTTTCATTAACTAATTCCTCTGCTTTACCTGGCATTTAACCAAAATTTTTGTATCTGCTTCAAATTACGCATAGCACTAACGCCCGGTGTTGAATTAAATTCGCGCACTATCTGTTCCCAGGCCTCGCGTACCGAGTACTTGGAACGTTGTTTTTTGCGAAATTTGATATCAATCACTTCCTCATGCTGATGAAATAGTGTATAAAGGATTTCCTTTTCTTCATGGGTAAAACGTGGTGTCAGGGAAGACATTTGATGACACTTGCCGCCACCCGTTCCAGAGCCACTACTATTACCACCACCACCGGAAATCGTATCGTCCACTTTAACCGTGACTGTAACGGCTTGTTGTGTACCATCCGTGGACATCATTCAAAAAATCATATGCGAATATTTTTCCCTTAAAAACTCAATTAAATTTTGTTTTGTTGTTTTCTTTTTCTTCGCAGAAAAAAAAAATTCTTAGTTTTTGCACAATTTGTTATTTATTTACTTGCTAAATCACTTTTTTTTTGCCTTTATTAAAAAAATCAATTTTTTTCACTCTAATTTTATCTCACTCTTTTCTGTCGTTTATTACTGTCATGCTGTCTAGCTCACTCTTTTTGTACAACAACAAAAACTCTTTTAATAATGACTCGTTGAAAAAATTTTTTTTTTGCTTCTCTTCCAAATTTTGCAAAGTTTTTGTTTTCGATTTTATTTTAACATTTATTAATAAACTATTTAACTTATTAAATAATCGTATAGTTTATTATTTCCTTTAACAAACATAATTATCTTTCTTCTTTATTTTCTTAAAAAAAAGCGCGCAAAACGTTTCAGCTCTTTATTTATTCCACAATTCTTTTACTCCACTCACACGGCCTTTCAATGAGCAACTGATTTTGCTTGCATTGTGTTTGCTTTACCTGAGTCGAGTCAGCCATTTTTCTATGTTGTGTTTATTTTGTTGTTGATTGTTCTTTTTTCAATGAGATGAGTTGTTGCATTGGTATGAGTGAGTGTTTATTTTGTTTCTATGAGTAAACGAATAAAAAGGAATGCCAGATGGATTTTGTATATATAACAAAAATAAAGTTAAAATTGTTTATGAAATACAGGCATTTTTATAAAAGTAGTAAAATTTAATATTTACAGAATTCAAAATAAACTACAACTGACCTAGAACTAGAACATAACTAAAACAGATCTAAAACTGATATTTTTCACATTTTATTGATCAATTTTCATCATTATTAACAAAAAGTCAACATCTGGCAGCTTTGCTTAACAGTACATTATGAATTTTCCCTCTTTATGGACATTTTGGTTTTAGTCTTTGCTTAGCTATAACATTAAAACTTAGCAACACTGTTATTTCATACTGGCAACTTCAACAGGTGGTTGTATTTACTTTTAGCAATTCTAAACACTTTGCAACACTTAAAACAATTCCCAACACTTTGCTACACTTAAAACAATTCTAAAGACTTTACAACACTTAAAACAGTTAAAAATAAAGGCAAAGTAAAGAAATCTGCGAATTTTTCTTATTTTTTAGGTTTTATTCAGGTATTAATAAATTTTCAATCCTTTTTTTATTAATATAAGTTGTTTTTATTAACTTTTACCCTTCCTCCATTTCCTCCTCTATGTTGGCCACCACATCTGGATAGAATTTCTTTAAAACTCTTTGCACTTCTGGCATTAACATTTCAAATTTAGGAAATTTATCACGTCTTGGAGGTCCTTTATCTAAACCCGACCACAAGTTATGTTTGGAAGTGCGAGCATGTTGTGAAAACTCTATTTCAAAAGCACCCTCTCTTGGTTCCACTTTACCATAATGATTGCGTATTAAAACAAACTGTCTTTCGGGTATTTCGGTTTGTAAATATTTCAAAAACTCTTCTGCCTTGATAGAGAAAATGGAACATTCTAGGGAATGTTCTATATAAATGATAGAACGGTTTTTATCGAAATTTGCCTCGGCAGACCAGTCGATTTCTTTGGGTTTCTTTTTGGCTGTCAATAAATAGAAGGGGATTAATTGGCTTTAAAGATTTATGTGGATTAGAAAAAGGACTAACCTTTTTTAGACATTTTTAAAGAGGAAATATAGAAAAAAATTTAAAAATTTTAAATTTATGAAGAAGATTGTTAAAAAAATTAAAATTTAATTTCTCCAAAAATATGTTTTTGAACTTTAATTCAAGTCATAATTTTTATATTTTTATTTTCTAGCCACCATGATTCCACCCTCTCGTCCTAATGTTACCCGACTTTCCGATGATTCCGTCATGTTGCGCTGGTATGTACCCAAAAACGATGGTCTACCCATACAATTCTTTAAGGTACAATATCGCATGCTGGGCGATGCGGCACGCACTATACCCCGAGAAAATTGGCAGACCACCAATGAGGATATACGCTACAATAAAATGGATCGTAATAATGAGGGCTTTAAGAATTTCACATCTTCGGTGACGGGTTTAAAACCTGACCGTTTCTATCGTTTTCGTATTATAGCCGTTTATTCGAACAATGATAATAAAGAGGGTAATACTTCTTCAAAGTTTTTCCTTAGACGGGGAGAAGATTTAGATTTATCTAATCTACCGGTACCGGAATTACAACGCATAGAACCTTTATCGGAATCGGCAGTAATGTTGCAATGGTCTTTAGCCCATACAGCGGCGGCTACTGAAGTAGATGGTTTCTATGCTTACTATAGGCCAGCCTCGTCGGCTGGTGAGTATATGAAAGCCACTGTAGATGGCATGCAGACTAGAAAATTTAAAATAGATATGCTCGAAGCCGGTACTACCTATGAATTCAAATTACAATCCTTCAATGAAATGGCTGCCTCGGAATTTAGCTCCATAGTACAAGGCAATACTAAAAGTAAGTAATATATTCCTCAATAATTGAAAAAATTCTAAAATTAGCTTTTTTTTCCTCACAGAATCTCTTACCACCCCCGCTCCTGCCTTGCCCGAAAAGGAACCTGCTTCTAAATCCAATGAAGAGGATAATTCTTTGTACCCTGTAGTTGCTGGAGCAGCTGGTGGTGGTCTTTTATTGTTAATAGTTAGCTTAACTGTTTGTATGTGCATAAAAAGACGTAAAAATTCTCAAGCTGAAGGTATTTACTTTTAAACATAACCTTAAAATTGTGATTATTAATAATAAGTTCCTTTACAGAAGAAAATAAACCTCAGTTGGATCATATACAAGCGGATTTTGTATCACCCCAAGTTTTGGGTGTTAACAATCATCACAAAGCTAATAATCATCGTATGAATGGTGTTTTACCGCGCATGAATATTACACCAAATCCATTGGCCCAGGAGGCTGATAAGGTGAGAAACGAAAGATATTGTTTTGTTTTAATTTAGTCTCTACTGTGCACTTTTTTATTATAAAAAGGGGAAATGGAATTAACAGAACTAGAACTGAACTAGAACTAGAACAGAACTAGAACAGAACTAGAACAGAACTAGAACAGAACTAGAACAGAACTAGAACAGAACTAGAACAGAACTAGAACAGAACTAGAACAGAACTAGAACAGAACTAGAACAGAACTAGAACAGAACTTGAACAGAACTAGAACAGAACTAGAACAGAACTAGAACTAGAACAGAACTAGAACAGAACTAGAACAGAACTAGAACAGAACTAGAACAGAACTAGAACAGAACTAGAACAGAACTAGAACAGAACTAGAACAGAACTAGAACAGAACTAGAACAGAACTAGAAACAGAACTAGAACAGAACTAGAACAGAACTAGAACAGAACTAGAACAGAACTAGAACAGAACTAGAACAGAACTAGAACAGAACTAGAATAGAACTAGAACAGAACTAGAATAGAACTAGAATAGGACTAAAACAGAACTATAACAGAACTAGAACAGAACTAGAACAGAACTAGAACAGAACTAGAACAGAACTAGAACAGAACTAGAACAGAACTAGAACAGAACTAGAACAGAACTAAAACAGAACTAGAACAGAACTAGAACAGAACTAGAACAGAACTAGAACAGAACTAGAACAGAACTAGAACAGAACTAGAACAGAACTAGAACAGAACTAGAACAGAACTAGAACAGAACTAGAACAGAACTAGAACAGAACTAGAACAGAACTAGAACAGAACTAGAACAGAACTAGAACAGAACTAGAACAGAACTAGAACAGAACTAGAACAGAACTAGAACAGAACTAGAAAGAACTAGAACAGAACTAGAACAGAACTAGAACAGAACTAGAACAGAACTAGAACAGACTACAGAACTAGAACAGAACTAGAACTAGAACAGAACTAGAACAGAACTAGAACAGAACTAGAACAGAACTAGAACAGAACTAGAACAGAACTAGAACAGAACTAGAACAGAACTAGAACAGAACTAGAACAGAACTAGAACAGAACTAGAACAGAACTAGAACAGAACTAGAACAGAACTAGACAGAACTAGAACAGAACTAGAACAGAACTAGAACAGAACTAGAACAGAACTAGAACAGAACTAGAACAGAACTAGAACAGAACTAGAACAGAACTAGAACAGAACTAGAACAGACAGAACTAGAACAGAACTAGAAAGAACTAGAACAGAACTAGAACAGAACTAGAACAGAACTAGAACAGAACTAGAACAGAACTAGAACAGAACTAGAACAGAACTAGAACAGAACTATAACAGAACTAGAACAGAACTAGAACTAGAACAGAACTAGAACAGAACTAGAACAGAACTAGAACAGAACTAGAACAGAACTAGAACAGAACTAGAACAGAACTAGAACAGAACTAGAAAAACTAGAACAGAACTAGAACAGAACTAGAACAGAACTAGAACAGAACTAGAACAGAACTAGAACAGAACTAGAACAGAACTAGAACAGAACTAGAACAGAACTAGAACAGAACTAGAACAGAACTAGAACAGAACTAGAACAGAACTAGAACAGAACTAGAACAGAACTAGAACAGAACTAGAACAAACTAGAACAGAACTAGAACAGAACTAGAACAGAACTAGAACAGAACTAGAACAGAACTAGAACAGAGAACAGAACTAGAACAGAACTAGAACAGAACTAGAACAGAACTAGAACAGAACTAGAACAGAACTAGAACAGAACTAGAACAGAACTAGAACAGAACTAGAACAGAACTAGAACAGAACTAGAACAGAACTAGAACAGAACTAGAACAGAACTAGAACAGAACTAGAACAGAACTAGAACAGAACTAGAACAGAACTAGAACAGAACTAGAACAGAACTAGAACAGAACTAGAACAGAACTAGAACAGAACTAGAACAGAACTAGAACAGAACTAGAACAGAACTAGAACAGAACTAGAACAGAACTAGAACAGAACTAGAACAGAACTAGAACAGAACTAGAACAGAACTAGAACAGAACTAGAACAGAACTAGAATAGAACTAGAATAGAACTAGAACAGATAACTATAACGACTAGAACAGAACTAGAACAGAACTAGAACTGAACTAGATCAGAACTAGATCAGAAACTAGAACAGAACTAGAACAGAACTAGAAAGAACTAGAACAGAACTAGAACAGAACTAGAACAGAACTAGAACAGAACTAGAACAGCAGACTAGAACAGAACTAGAACAGAACTAGAACCAGAACTAGAACAGAACTAGAACAGAACTACGAACTAGAACAGAACTAACAGAACTAGAACAGAACTAGAACAGAACTAGAACAGAACTAGAACAGAACCTAGAACAGAACCTAGAACAGAACTAGAACAGAACTAGAACTAGAACAGAAACTTAGAACAGAAACTAGAACAGAACTAGAACAGAACTAGAACAGAACTAGAACCGAACTAGAACAGAACTAGAACAGAAACTAGACAGAACTAGAACAGAACTAGAACAGAACTAGAACAGAACTCGAACAGAACTAGAACAGAACTAGAAACAGAACTTAGGAACAGAACTAGAACAGAACTAGAACAGAACTAGAACAGAACTAGAACAGAACTAGACAGACAGAAACTAGACCAGAACTAGAACAGAACTAGAACAGAAACTAGAACAGAACTAGAACAGAACTAGAAACAGAACCTAGAACAGAACTAGAACAGAACTAGAACAGACTAGAACAGACTAGAAACAGAACTAGAACAGAACTAGAACAGAACTAGAACAGAACTAGAACAGAACTAGAACAGAACTAGAACAGAACTAGAACAGAACTAGAACAGAAACTAGAACAGAACTAGAACAGAACTAGAACAGAACTAGAACAGAACTAGAAAGAACTAGAACGAGAACTAGAACAGAACTAGACAGAACTAGAACAGAACTAGAACAGAACTAGAACAGAACTAGACAGAACTAGAACAGAAACTAGAACAGAACTAGAACAGAACTAGAACAGAACTAGAACAGAACTAGAACAGAACTAGAACAGAACTAGAACAGAACTAGAACAGAACTAGAACAGAACTAGAACAGAAACAGAACAGAACTAGAACAGAACTAGAAACAGAACTAGAACAGAACTAGAACAGAACTAGAACAGAACTAGAACAGACTAGAACAGAACTAGAACAGAACTAGAACAGAACTAGAACAGAACTAGAACAGAACTAGAACAGAACTAGAACAGAACTAGAACAGAACTAGAACAGAACTAGAACAGAACTAGAACAAACTAGAACAGAACTAGAACAGAGCTAGAACAGAACTAGAACAGAACTAGAACAGAACTAGAACAGAACTAGAACAGAACTAGAACAGAACTAGAACAGAACTAGAACAGAACTAGAACAGAACTAGAACAGAACTAGAACAGAACTAGAACAGAACTAGAACAGAACTAGAACAGAACTAGAACAGAACTAGAACAGAACTAGAACAGAAATAGAACAGAACTAGAGCAGAACTAGAACAGAACTAGAACAGAACTAGAACAGAACTAGAACAGAACTAGAACAGAACTAGAACAGATCTAGAACAGAACTAGAACAGAACTAGAACAGAACTAGAACAGAACTCGAACAGAACTAGAACAGACTAGAACAGAACTAGAACAGAACTAGAACAGAACTAGAACAGAACTAGAACAGAACTAGACAGAACAGAACTAGAACAGAACTAGAACAGAACTAGAACAGAACTAGAACAGAACTAGAACAGAACTAGAACAGAACTAGAACAGAACTAGACAGAACTGGAACAGAACTAGAACAGAACTAGAACGGAACTAGAACAGAACTAGAACAGAAATAGAACAGAACTAGAACAGAACTAGAACAGAACTAGAACAGAACTAGAACAGAACAGAACAAGAAACAGAACTAGAACCGAACTAGAACAGAACTAGAACAGAACTAGAACAGAACTAGAACGAACTCGAACAGAACTAGAACAGAACTAGAACAGAACTAGAACAGAACTAGAACAGAACTAGAACAGAAACTAGAACAGAACTAGAACAACTAGAACAGAACTAGAACAGAACTAGAACAGAACTAGAACAGAAACTAGAACAGAACTAGAACAGAACTAGAAACAGAACTAGAACAGAACTAGAACAGAACTAGAACAGAACTAGAACAGAACTAGAACAGAACTAGAACAGAACTAGAACAGAACTAGAACAGAACTAGAACAGAACTAGAACAGAACTAGAACAGAACTAGAACAGAACTAGAACAGAACTAGAACAGAACTAGAACAGAACTAGAACAGAACTAGAACAGAACTAGAACAGAACTAGAACAGAACTAGAACAGAACTAGAACAGAACTTAGAACAGAACTAGAACAGAACTAGAACAGAACTAGAACAGAAATAGAACAGAACTAGAACAGAACTAGAACAGAACTAGAACAGAACTAGAACAGAACTAGAACAGAACTAGAACAGAACTAGAACAAAACTAGAACAGAACTAGAACAGAATTAGAACAGAACTAGAACAGAACTAGAACAGAAATAGAACAGAACTAGAACAGACAAGAACTGAACTTTAATCCCATTTCTCTTTTCTTACTTTTTTATAAATACATTTTTCTTTTATTGCTTTTTATTGTAAATTAGTTGTTGTATTTTTTATATCCTTTCTTTTAAACAAATATCTATATTTTATGAAACAAATCAAAGGGGTTGTATGTTAATTTGCTTCAACGGCTGTTGTATTCTAAAAGGTGTTGATTTTCCTGGCAACTTTTTCCAACTACTATCTCACTAGCACAACAAATTTTAATATTTTTTAAAATTATCTGTAAATTTATGTAAAAATTAGTTTTAAGTTTATTTTAAATATTGTAAATTATTTAATTTTCTTTAAAATTGCAAGAGCTTTTGCTTTTAAAACACTTTGCACACTTTACTTTTCAATTGTAATTTACTTCCCCAGTTGGGGAATTTCTTAAAAATATTATGTATTTGTAGATTTTTACTTAAAATTGCTTTAATTACTTTAATAAGAAACTTCCCCGCATAAATGGGATTTGTGGGATTTTTCAAAATGTTTTTGGGAATTCAAATTTTTTAGTTAAAAATTACATATTTAGCTAGAATTATCATAATAATGCTTTAAAATGCTTTCAAAGCTGGTTTTCAAACTTCCCCAGTTTGGGGGATTTTGGAAATTTTCTAAAAATAGGATTAGTTATCAAAGATATTTAACACAAAAAAGAATTTAATTAATAAAAGTGTTAACAACTTGTTTTGCAATTCAATTAAAATGTCTTTTAGGACTTCCCCCTTGTATAAAGAATTTTGGGGATTTTTGGAAAAGTATTTGGGAATGAAAATTTTTGAATTTTCAGATCAAATTATTAATATTTAGCAATTTACAGCTTAGTAACAATGCCCAGATAGGATTTAGAAGTTTAATTTAAGTTTAAACTATAAATATATCACTGCTACCGTTAGAAAGCTTTTCCTAAACTTATGCTTTAAAAAAATCTGCTTAAATACCAATATTTGCTTAAGCTTTTTAAGTATTTGCTAAACTTTTATAAACAATATGAAACTAGCTTAGATATAGAAATATCAGCATGATTTATTTTAGAATCGTAATGTCATGGAATTACGCTTCATGACCACCAACAACACCACCACCAGCAGTTCGAACAACAGTTGCCACAATAGTACAGAGAAGCTCAATGCTGAACAGCATGATTTAGCTCTGCAACATCTACAAACACCGCCACAACGTTCCACCTCATCTTGTGAGACTTTAGAAGCTTCCGAGGGAGTTACTCTAACCAATGGTTTGGATCCTAATTCACCCCTATCAAAACCTTTGCCTCCCTTGCCCAGCAAGAATACAACAAAGTTAGCAAATCATACAACCTCAATGAAAATGCAACAATCATCGAATAATGCTTCCTGTTCCTCATCAAACTCATCAACCTTGCAAAAATTAGCTAACTCTAATAATTTAAATAATTCACAGGCCCATATAGGATCGGGTATACACCATGCTCAACCCTATTATCAAACACCTCCTACGCCCACATTAATGGCTAAAAGGGACTATCAGCAACCGCCGCCAGTGCCACCACATCAAAACAATAATCACACTTCTATGTCGGCTATGAATCATCATCATCCTTTACCACCTACTGGACATCAAGCCGCCCCCTTAACGCCCTCTTTAGATCAACAAAGACGTACACTAGATCGCAGTGTACGTAATTTACCCTACAATCAAAATAACTCGAATATGGCGAATAATCATGATACGTCAGCCATGAATTTGGAAGGTCTTACTACACGCATACCATCCTTGAGAAGAACACGACGCACTTCCGGCGGTAGTTCAAATAATGGTGTCAATTCTATGTCCAGTAATCCCAATGGTGGTCTGGGTATACCTATCGCCGTGGCCGCCGGCAGTCCAAGAGTTCAACGTTCTCCTATGCCCGCCAGAGCGGCCATGATGAAACAACGTTCACGTTTGGGCAGTCACAATGATAATATCTCTTCCGGCAGTCTCAACAGTATTGAAGTGTGATGTTAAAAAGAGAGTAAGTAAGTGTTAAAGAGAGCAGAAGTTTTAAAAGTTAGAGAATTTTTTGTTTTCCTTTTTTCCTTAGTAATGAATACAGACTATTAAGTTTTAATTACACTTTTAATTTAAATGTAAATAATTTAGCTTAAGGTATAGCTTAGAATTAGCTAGTTTTATACTAACAGGGCACAAAAACAAGAGACAGTTTTTAAAGATAAAGAGAGCTCAAATGAATTTAAAATTAAGAGAACCTTAGAAATTAAGAAATCTAAAACAAATATAAGAGAATAATTCGAGTTAGAAGAAGAACTTCCAATATTATAGATCAGACCATAGACCACGATATAGACTATATAATAAACTAAAGGCTAGACTATAGAATAAACTATAGAATAGACTATAGACTAGACTATAGAATAGACTATAGACTAGACTAGACTATAGACTAGACTATAGACTAGACTATAGACTAGACTTTAGACTAGACTATAGAATAGACTATAGAATATACTATAGAATAGACTATAGAATTGACTATAGACTAGACTATAGCATAGACTATCGATTAGACTAGACTATAGACTAAACTATAGACTGGACTACTAGACTAGACTACTAGACTATTGACAGGCCTAAAGACTAGACTATAGAATATACTATAGAATAGACTATAGACTAGACTATAAACTAGACTATGGACTAGTCTAGACTCTAGAACAGTCTATAGAATATATTATAGAATATACTATTGAATAGACTATAGACTAGACTACAGACTAGACTATAGACTAGGACTATAGACTAAACTATAGACTAGACTATTGACTAGACTATAGACTAGACTATAGACTAGACTATAGACTAGACTATAGACTAGACTATAGACTAGACTATAGACTAGACTATAGACTAGACTATAGACTAGACTATAGACTAGACTATAGACTAGACTATAGACTAGACTATAGACGATACTTAGACTACTATAGACTAGACTATAGACTAGACTATAGACTAGACTATAGACTAGACTATAGACTATAGACTAGACTATAGACTAGACTATAGACTAGACTATAGACTAGACTATAGACTAGACTATAGACTAGACTATAGACTAGACTATAGACTAGACTATAGACTAGACTATAGACTAGACTATAGACTAGACTATAGACTAGACTAGACTAGACTATAGACTAGACTATAGACTAGACTATAGACTAGACTATAGACTAGACTATAGACTAGACTATAGACTAGACTATAGACTAGACTATAGACTAGACTATAGACTAGACTATAGACTAGACTATAGACTAGACTATAGACTAGACTATAGACTAGACTATAGACTAGACTAGACTAGACTATAGACTAGACTATAGACTAGACTATAGACTAGACTATAGACTAGACTATAGACTAGACTATAGACTAGACTATAGACTAGACTATAGACTAGACTATAGACTAGACTATAGACTAGACTATAGACTAGACTATAGACTAGACTATAGACTAGACTATAGACTAGACTATAGACTAGACTATAGACTAGACTATAGACTAGACTATAGACTAGACTATAGACTAGACTAGACTATAGACTAGACTATAGACTAGACTATAGACTAGACTATAGACTAGACTATAGACTAGACTATTGACTAGACTATAGACTAGACTATAGACTAGACTATAGACTAGACTATAGACTAGACTATAGACTAGACTATAGACTAGACTATAGACTAGACTATAGACTAGACTATAGACTAGACTATAGACTAGACTATAGACTAGACTATAGACTAGACTATAGACTAGAATATAGACTAGACACTAGACTAGACTATAGACTAGAATATAGACTAGACTAAAGACTAGATTATAAACTAGACTCTAGACTAGACTATAGACTCGACTATAGACCAGACTATAAACTATACTATAGACTAGACTATAGACTAGACTATAAACTATACTATAGACTAGACTATAGACTAGACTATGGACTAGACTATAGACTAGACTATAGACTAGACTATAGACTAGACTATACACTATAGACTAGACTATAAACTAGACTATAGACTAGACTACTACTGGCTGTAGTCTAGAATATACTATGGATTATATTCTAGACTAGACTATGGAATAAACTATGTGCTAGATTATAGAATAAACTATAAAATAGACTTTAGACTAGACTATAGTTTATAAACTATAGATATATGACTCTAGCCAAATCTATATTGAATATGATAGACTACTGTTCAGTCTATTGCCAGAACTATAGCTAAGACAATTGCCTATATTATGGACTAGACTATAGCTAGGTGTTTATGATGGAATCTAACCAAGACTATAAGGTTAAATATAATCACGACTAGAATATAATTTTTTAGTATAAACAATAAATTATTTTCATTTATTTGCTTTAAAAACATTGTAAATAGTTCATATTTTATTAAAAAAATATATAAAATACATTTCAAAAATAAATTAAAATAATTTATTTTAAGAGCCATTGTAACAAATAATGAAAATGAAAAATAAAATCATATCCGTCCTGTATATTTCTTTACAAGATTAAGTTAATTTAAAATAGGTTTTTTAAGATGTTTTTAAAAATTTTGAATAATTTGGAAAATATTTGTAGATTTTTTTATTAAAGTTTTTACAAAATTTCTTTATTAAAACTGTTTTAATAATTTATTTAGTTTTATTTATAATTAATTAAACTATTTGTTTTGTATTTGCCTTAAGTTTTAATAATATAATTTTATTTAAGTTTTATTTATTATTTTGATGTATTATTATTTTATTTTAATTTTTAAACAAAAAAATGCTTCCTGCTTTAAGCGATAATGGCCTTATATCTTTAATTTTTATTTTAAATTTAAAGAAATAATAAAATAAAATAAAATAAATGTTACTTCTCAACAAAATTATTAATTAATAAAAAAATAATTTATAATAAATTTAAACATAAAATGACATAAAATTTAAGTTAAATGTTAAAAAAAATAAAACAAAAAATAAATTAACAAATATAATAAAAAAGCAAATTACAAACTAAAAATTTTGTTTAAATTTAAATCCAAAAGAAAAAACCTTATTAGTAAGTATAAAATACCCAACTGATCCCAACCATAGACTAGACTATAGTCTACCTGAGACCCATATTTCATCAAAATTTGGGAACAAAATTTCAGATCGATTCTACTACAAAATTTTATTTTATTTTCAAAATTTCCTCTACATTTGGGGGTTCTTGTCTTGACTATTCGAAAAATTTGCTAAGACAAGAACCTCACATATTAGAAAAATCTTGATGTGAAATGGAATTTCATGGGATATTTGGTTCAAAATTTTTGTTCTGAAATTTTTATGAAATATTGGACCTAGCTCAATTCTGAAACCATTTACGGATTCAGCATAGATTTGAGTCTTACATCACAAATTTCAGTTGCCCTCGGCCTCAAGATCCCCAAGTAATGGAGCATATTGTTCAAAGTAAAAAAAATTCGGTAATTTTTATGAAATAATGGACCTAGGTCCATTCAGAGTTCATTTTCGGATTCAGCGTGTGAATTTACCAGAAAGGTGAGTTTGCAGCCAGATTTGGCCAGTAGTTTTCGAGTTTAAAGCAAACAAAAAAATAAATTTAAAATTTTGTTGTAAAATGGGTCCTAGGTCCAACATTTATCAAAATTTCAGATTTTTTTTTCAATTTTGCTTCAAACTCGGAAACTACTGGGCGAATCTGGCTGGAAACTCACCTTTCTGGTAAAATCCCATGCTGAATCCAAAAATGAAGGCAGAATGGACCTGGGACCAATATTTCATTAAAATTCCCGAAAATTTTTTATTATGAGCAAATTGCGGTATTATATCGGGGTCTTGAGGTCTAGAGCTGCAAAAATTTGACATTCAAAATTAGTGCTTAAGCTGAATCCGAAAAGGAACTCATAGTGGATCTGAGACCAATATTTCATCAAAATTTAAGAACAAAATTTCAGACCGATTCTGCTACAAAATTTAATGTTATCTCAAAATGTCCTCTTCATTTGGGGGTTCTTGTCTTGACTATTGAAAAATATGCTAGCCAAGACAAGATCCTCACATATTAGACAAATCTGGATGGAAAATTAATTTTCGAGGGATAATTGGTTCAAAATGTTTGAGCTGAAATTTTTATGAAATAGTGGACCTAGCTCGATTCTGAAATCATTTTCGGATTCAGCATAGATTTTGGACTTAGATGACAAATTTTTGTTGGCCTCGGCCTCAATATCACCAAATAACAGCACAAATTGTTCAAAGTAAAAAAATTTCGGTAATTTTGATTAAATAATGGACCTAGGTCCATTCTGAGTCCATTTTCGGATTCAGCGTGCGAATTTATCAGAAAGGTGAGTTTCCAGCCAGATTCGGCCAGTAGTTTTCGAGTTTAAAGCAAACAAAAAAATAAATTTATAATTTTGTTGTAAAATAGGTCCTAGGTCCAACATTTATCAAAATTTTAGATTTTTTTTCAATTTTGCTTCAAACTCGGAAACTACTGGGCGAATCTGGCTGGAAACTTACCTTTCTGGTGAAATCCCATGCTGAATCCAAAAATGAAGTCAGAATGGACCTGGGACCAATATTTCATCAAAATTCCCGAAAATTTTTTGTTTGAAGCAATTTGTGGTATTATACCGGGGTCTTGAGGTTAAGAGCTGCAAAAATTTGACATTCAAAATTAGTGCTTATACTGAATCCGAAAATGTATTCATAATGGACGTGAGGCCAATATTTCATCAAAATTTAAGAACAAAATTTCAGACTGATTCTGCTACAAAATTTTATTTTATTTCCAAAATTTCATCTACATTTGGGGGTTCTTGTTTTGACTATTAAAAAATTTGCTAGCCAAGACAAGAACCTCACATATTAGCAAAATCTTGATGTAAAATGAAATTTCGTGGGATATTTGGTTCAAAATTTTTGTACTGAAATTTTTATGAAATATTGGACCTAGCTCAATTCTGAAACCATTTACGGATTCAGCGTAGATTTTAGTCCTACATGACAAATTTCAGTTGCCCTCGGCCTCAAGATACCCAAGTAATGGTGCATATTGTTCAAAGTAAAAAAATTTCGGGAATTTTGGTGAAAGAATAGACCTAGGTCCATTCTGAGTCCATTTTCGGATTCAGCGTGTGAATTTACCAGAAAGGTGAGTTTCCAGCCAGATTTGGCCAGTAGTTTTCGAGTTTAAAGCAAACAAAAAAATAAATTTGAAATTTTGTGGTAAAATGGGTCCTAGGTCCAACATTTATCAAAATTTCAGATTTTTTTTTAATTTTGCTTCAAACTCGGAAACTACTGGGCGAATCTGGCTGGAAACTCACCTTTCTGGTAAAATCCCATGCTGAATACAAAAATGAAGTCAGAATGGACCTGGGA